TGTTTACAGAACCTATAGGGTCACAAGCTTAAAGTAATCATGATCTACTAAGTGTTAGTAGGACATGAGTAACGAGGATCTATTTGTGAAATAGTTTGATTAATATTCAAAATAGTTTCGAGAGGAACCAAAAGCGTTTCAGGGTCGCCGGAAGGGTTTCAGAGTTTATCGGGCAATACCGGGTATTATCGATAAATAATATATATATATGTGTGGAAAATGTTTCTGAAGATAATAAATTAATAATAAAAGACTCTAGTAATTGTTAGAAGACTTTTATATTTAATTAAATATCAACGGGCCTTAAAAAGCCAAGTAGTGAAAGGAGAATTTGGGCCACGGGCCAATAAGGGAGGCGCCCAGTTTTTCCACGTGGGGAGGTTGAACTGGACTAGGGGAGGGATTCCTCTCACCTCTAGGCCGGCATACCAAGGAGGGATTCCTTCTCTCCTTGTGTTGGCCCCTCCTTCTCCCTCCAACCTGTATATACTAGAGGATTTGGTGCTTTTAGAAAACACAAGTTTTGGAGCTTCCTCTTGTTCTCTAGTTCTAGTTCTAGTTCGTCCTAGTTGATCAATTAGAGCTTGACCTAGATCCTCTAATCCTCATAATTAGAAGCCTGGTATGGTTCTAGTCTCCTCCCTCTAATTCTCCAACGATGATTAGCTCTGCATGGCGAACGCTGCCGGATCATGAAGACCGTACGCTTGAAACTCATAGAGAGACCGTGCTTTTGGTATTCTATTCGAGGGATTGTTCATGGGTGGTTCACGGGATCGTTCATCTATGTTTCGAGGGACTCCAAGTACGATCTACATCGACTCGTCTTCTTCCACTGCAACTCGGAGTCGGCAACGATTGAATCTAAACCGTCAATGCATCTTTATATTGTTCTTGGGTGATCATAGGGTAAATTTTTTGTTTTCTACTACGTTTCCCAATAGGGGAGCGCTGTGGGCCCCACACGCCCCCACCACGATGCGAGAGGACGCGTGGAGGGGTCGTGTGGGACCCCTAGTGCTTCTTTCCACCGCATATGAATGCCTATATTTTTGTTCGCTCCAAAACCCCTAACCATCGAGAGTTTTTCTGTTTTTGCTGCCGCACCTCTCTGTTCTGTGGCGATCCAATCTGGAGGCCTTTTCTAGTATAGTCTATTCTGGAGGCCTTCTCTAGTATTATGTAGGAGGGAAAATCATCAAGGTGGCCATCTCCATCAACTTGAAGGTCACCACGACCATTCGTGAGTTGTTTCCTTTGGACTACGGGTCCATAACAGTACCTAGATGGTCTTCTCTCCCTTACTTCTAAATACAAAGATCACATGAGCTGCCATACACGATTGTGATCCATGTGATGTAATATGTTAGTGTGTTTGTTGTAGCGTGATGAATTGTCACTTTATGGTCAAATTTATCCATGAATCCTTTTGAGATCTATTTGGTTTATTTGTTGCATAATTCTTTTTCACATATGCTCTTCGATCTATTTGTCTTCCTTTCGCCAAGTTTGATGAGACTTGCATTGTGTTGCACTCTTGCAAATAATCTAACGCAGTGATAGAAAAGGCGTGTATTGTGTTGTTGCCACTAGGGATAAAACGATGACTGCACAGTTTTTGTTTGAACACACAGTGAAGACAATATATCATCTACTTCATGTCATCATACTTAATGCAATAATCTAGTTATTACTTAATACTTTAATATGCATGCTTGGAGTATTAGCTATAGTTGCAGTTGGATAACGGTCTATAGATGTTTGGATGTGATGCTCATTTGTTAGTTATGCCATGTATAATCATAGTTATAAAAATGTATTTTAATTACGCAACTATAATTTGTTCACCAGACCATGCAATCTTTTGGCGAGAAGCCACTAGTGAACCTATGGATCCCGGTCCATTCTTGTTTCTATTTCTTTCAACCTTGATCGAACACTCCTTTTAAGATTCTTGTTCTTGTTCTTTTCCGTTGTAATCAATCTTCCATAGACACTTCCATTTAATCCTTGTAATTAGCGAGGCTAGTGAGACTGAGAACCTAGCTAGTTTCGTTTGGGGCCAAGGCAGATTTGTATTTGTGTGCGCATGTACTTGTTGTTGGCTGGGTTGCAAACTCCTAATGGTTCAATAAACATTAAGGTCATCCACTTTGAGGGAAAATTGTTGTTTGCTACAAACTCTTGCACTTGGGGGCCCAGCACCTTCCTAGTCTAGAGGAAGAAATGATCATGTGGCTCGCTGGAAAGAGGCACACCAAAAACACTTTGACAATCAAATTGAATAGACATTCCTTAAAGAAAATCATACTAATTTCATTGATGTCATATTCACCCGCCATTTTGGCGATGAGAGTTAGAACCCCAAAGTTAGACACTTAATGGACACCAGACCTCTATAGAAAGCATTAAAAATATGGAAAACTTGCTCGTATGGAATAGACAAGAATTTCTTATAGAATAAGTTCAACATCTATCTAAATCAGGCGTGGTGTTAGATTTGGTTGCTTTCAAAGCCCCCCCCCACCTCTGATGGAGCAATTGGTTGTTAAGAAAATGTATTTTGCATCCGAGACTAAGCCGCAACCCTCCCAGGTTGAAGAGGCAACTGAAACCCATTCTTGGGCCATCAATCCAAGGAGCATGATGTAGAAATTGTATATGTGGGTTACATGCTCCTTAGGATCATAAATGATATTGTCATCGTTCCGTAGAAGGTGAATTATGCATCTCTAATGCCACCCATTGGCAGCCGCGTGGATGAAGGTCGTTTAGTGTCCCCTTGGTAGGTCCTGATAGTAGGATCCCCTCGGGGTAGGTTAAATACAAGGACTCAATCCATTAGGCATGGGATGGCCCAAGACCTATCGAGAAGCCCACTGGACCGAGCCTTTTCCACGAAGTGCACTCGACTGGGTCATTGGTGCGCTATCAAGACATATGTTGTGACGCCATGAACCGAGCATTACCACAAGATACTTAATCAAGAGTAACAACACGAGATCAATGATCCGTTACCACGCCCAAACGAGTCGACCATTGTAAAACCCTAGCCTTGTTAGCCCTTTATAAGGCAAGGTCAGGGCGCCCTCACGCGGTATGCAGACACAAGCACACAAAGACACACTTGTACGATCTTTGTATTGAGAATTCCTCGTACGAGGCCATACAAATATCGAACATGAGTAGGGTAATACCTCTTCAACAGTGGGCCTGAACCTGGGTAACCGCCCTCATATGAACCCCGTCCTAGATCATCTTGTTGTGCTCCCAAATCCATGACAATGTGTATTGTCGCCAACCCCGTCCTAGATCATCTTGTTGTGCTCCCAAATCCATAACAATGTGTATTGTCGCTAAATCCCACGACATGTCTAGTGCCCATTTTGTTGCAAAAATAAAAATAACTCACACTTAAGAGTGTATTCTGTTTCCCCCTCCTAAAGGCAATACATCAACACCCGCCCCATTTGAAAGGAGAGACTAGGTTGTTTGGCTCTCCAATCCAAGCAGGGGCAGAGCATCATGGGGACCAAACTGGGCCATGACCCATGCGTCCCTCTCTAAAGTTAGCACGAATTTGATCTAAGAATCACAGATGGCCCGATGAGTAAGTGGCTGACCTGTCCATGACTTGTTCTTCAATCTAATTGACGCTCCACCGCTATATTTGGCGGGTTCGAGCCATTGCCTCTTGAAAAAGAGTGGTTTGACCAAGGCTAGGATCCCGGATGACTTAAAATAAACCTCCGTTCAGAAATAAGTGACGTGGTTTCACTTGATAATTCAAGAGTTTGTGCAACGTGTGCTTAAATAGAGTTTTTTTTCCTCGCATCATCACTTGAGTAGAGTTTTAGCGCATCTACAATGCAGATGCTTAAAACGGGCGCTAGGGTGATTTTTCTGGCCGTTTCGTCCGATTCCTGGCAGAGTCCAGGATTTTGGCTTGCGTGGGCGCAATTCCTGTCGTCAGGCGCTTGCCCTCTTTTTTTCCACATACAACGAACTAGGTGGTAGCGGGCGCTAACCTGATAGCCAGAATTAGCATGGAGATCTCAAGAGAATCAACACAAACTACGCCCACTACTTTTTTTGCTGCGTTGGGGAGAGCTAACGCTTGCGTACGTCTTTTGAATTGTGAGGCGTCTATAGATTACTAGGAGCGTTGGAGGCAGGGACTCTTAAACGAGCGCTACACGAAAAAACAATTTCTTTTAATTGCTTAAGCGCCTCAACAAGCGTTTAGCGTTGAAGATGCCCTTATGGTAGACTCTACCTAGAGTTGGCTGAGATAAGCAAATTAATTGTATCAGCTTTCTCCATCAATACCATATGCCACGAGAGTCTGTCGATAAGAAAATGAAGCAGGCTGCGGTCCCATACTCAGCCAATCCGAGCATGGTCAACTGATAAAGCACTCTATTTTACTCGACCCGATCCCCCATCAGAGCCGTCGACAAACAAAGATAAGGATCCAACGGTCCGAATGCGTAGCCAAAGCGTACTGCAATGGCACTATGCAAGCATAGCATACATCCCCAGGTTCCTCCCGGCTCCACCGGATGGGGACGGTCGGCACGCCTGCGGGAAAGGGGGACACACCACCCCCACCACAGTGCGCGCGCAGACCCGTCGCATCCTGCAAAGCCGTGCAAGAAAAACACGTGGATGCCTTATCCCCTCGACCCACTCCACGGAGCCTGACTGCCGCCGAGATGATAACCATCACGCCCGTATTTATCATCATCGTTTTTTAATTCCTGCTATTCTATTCTGCTACGAACTGACTTCTTTATCCCGTCCCGCGCGCATCCTCCTCTGCCACGGCTCGTCATTCATTCTTATCCTCCTCCTCCCCCGGTACCTTTATAGCTTCCGATCCCCCGCTCCGTCCTCCAAGCCATCGTCCTGCTAGCACCCGTGAACTCCAGCCATTCACGCTGCGTCGATCGTTTGGTTTGGTTTCGTGCGTTGCTGTGATCGTCTGATCTGCTCGGGAGATGGAAGCCTACATGCTGTTCCCGCGGAGCAATGGAAAGAGCTGCGAGGAGGAGCAGGAGGAGGACATCGGCTGCCCGTCCGAGTCCGGGATGTCGGCGGCCGGCTCCATGCTGTCGTCGGACGAGGAGCTCGACGACGATGCCACCTCCAGCTCCGGCTCCTCCGGATCCACCGACAACTTCCAGATGTCCTCCCTCATGGCGCAGCTCCCGCTCAAGTACGTGCTCTGCCCGGACACCGCGGTTCTTTGTAGGCTCGAGCTCGATCTTGATTGAAGCTGTGGTCTGACATGGCGTTCTTTTTCTCTTGGCGCAGGAGGGGTCTGTCCAAGTTCTTCGACGGCAAGTCGCAGTCGTTCGCGTCGCTCGCGGCCGTGGGCGGCCTGGAGGACCTGGCCAAGCCGCCGGGCAAGCGGATCAAGGCGTCCCGGAGCTGCGAGGTCGGGCTGCAGGACGCGCACCGCCGGCGCTTCGCGCGCCGCAATGCCGCGGCCTTCAAGAAGGTGTCCAAAGGGCGGCTGTCCGCGCTCGGTAGGGCGCCGGCGCTCCGGCCGCTGACGGCGAGCGCGGCGAGGCCCAAGGGCTTGCCCGTGCGGGCTCCGCTCTTCGTTTAGGAGATTTCGCCCGCAGATTAGTCGTGTCGTCGGTTGTGGCGTGCTCGAAGAGCAGTTGGTGCGGTTGTTACGTGGATTTTGACATGGTAACTGACCGGATGGTGGCCGGCTGGTCAATGGATGTGTAAATACAGAAATGAGAAACATGCCTTGTTCCGTTTCGAATGCCAACTTATGGCTCTCGTTTTGATGAACTAGTCAAAAATGTGGCAAAATGTGAAATGCTAGTCCTAGAACCAAATAACCCTTTAGTTTCACCACTCGTCTAGTAAGCAAGTTAGACATAGTATCTATGTTGTTCTTCACATTAAGGACAACTCTAATCAATCTCAAAAGTTAACTCAAACCCCAATTAACTTCCAAAGCGGGGTCCCAGAACTGTTAACTCCCCCAAAACTCAGTATATTGGAAGGTTGGTTTCTTTGAACTACGAAAACGAATATATTTAGGAACCAAAGGAGTAATCAAGTAATCAATCCCTAAAACTTAGCTCCCAATATTGTTCTTTTCCAATTTGTCTCATTATTGTAGATGTAATCTTATTTCGACTTCATTCCAACGACATACTCCTTTCGTTTCTTTATATAAGGTGTATTTGTCATTTCTTTTAGTTCCTCGTAATTCCAGTTTTAGCCCTCTAGAAAAAGAAAAATATTTTTTTCCGATTGTGTGCATCTCTTTTTATAGCAAAAGAACGAAAGTCTCTCTCTCGATTGCATGTATCTCTTACTTTTCTGAACAAGTTGATTTACTTACCACAAGCCAATATATTTGCTAAAGGTAATTTCGTCCTAGCATGTATATAATTATGTGCCTTGGTCATCGTATCAAAAATAATACACCTTAAATAACGAAACAGAGGAAGTATTTAATAAAACATTGATGTTTGGAGGTACGCGTTTCAATATTTCAAATGTCAATGTACGAGATAAAATTCAAATCACACATATTCATAGATTACGCTGGAAGCAACAACATAGTTTAACCACCGGCAAGAACATAAAAGGGTGATGTTCATCGAAAAGAAACGGGAGGAACATTGAGTGTAGACCAACCACTAGCATTGTGGTTTCGAGTTCCCCGAAAATCTCACGACGCGGTTACTCAAATTATTTTGCCATGTCATCCAATCGTTAAACATGCATGAGCAGGGGCGCTTATTCTCGCTCCTTCATCCTGTTCGTCTCTGCCTCGGCGACAATCCTCAACCTTTCCTCCTAAAGGGAAAGCTTCTTCTCCTCTATCGCAAGCTTCTTCACCTCGATTGTCGCCTTCCTCTCCCCGGTAGCTCCCATCACCTTCGGTCGTTCCTCCTCTAGCAGCGTAAGTCCATCCATACACCTTGCCATCTTATCTTCCTTATCATTGACCATTAACTGTGTCTTCCTCTGCAACATTTTATTTATCTCCTCTTGTACGCATCACCCATGACATGACCATTCCTCTTCTCATTACCTATCCGGCCTAGAGGTAGGAGTGGGGTTTCTCCCCCTCTCCTTACTTTCATCCTCTTAGTAGAAGAAGTGCTCATCACCGTTGCCTCCCAATCCCCCCTGCCCACTTCTCATTATCTCGGAGAATTTCCCAACAACGCTACAAAGTCAAGGCCTTCTGGCCATTTCACTTGTCTTTTTTCCTTAAAAAGTGCTAAGATGTAGGCTTCATGTTATTGAGTGGCACACCACTTGTCGGTATTTTTTCCACTTGCTCAACACAACCCTCTCACTGGCTGCATATGTCTTGAATCATTGCCCAATGGTTTGAGGGTGAGGATTTTGTGAGGTTGGACTTAATGCACGCCGATAGTACCCATCAATTCATCTTCAAAATGTTTATTTGCTCTTGTTTGTGCATGTAGCCGCATCAAGAAACAAATTCATCATGGCATAACACACTGTTATGTCCTCCTCCACATTGTAATTGCTCATTCTTCCCATCTTCTTGTTTGTGGTTTGGCTCAGGATCTCAAAGTCATCTTCCTCACTTGTTCTATCACCAGTGCCTCCATCTCGAAGTTGAGGTCATGAATGCCAACTAGATCCACTAGCGCCGACTCACTAACTTTTTACCTAAACATATCAACTGCCACATCATGTGCAAAGCCCTGCTCATAGGGGGGGGGGTCAATGTACGGGTCAACGCAAGCGAGAGCATCATTTAGGGCGACATGTGCTTTCCTTTTCCTCTATGCTTCTTCCTCTTCAACGGTCATCTCGTCGTCCCATTTTTTTAGCATGATTGTGTTGTTCCTCCTCTTGTTCGCCCCAGGGACCGGTTGAATATCATGTTGACCCTTGGTGGGCACATCTCTGGTGGGAGCGATGGACATGCGCATGATGCCTAGTTGGTGTCGCTTGACCATGGCCACCTCAACGGGCACATCCTTTTCCGGGGTTGTCAGGGTTGGGTAAGTAGGGGAAACAATGTTGAGGTCATGGGGAGGCTACATACTCCATTCCCTAAAAATGGACGGAGGGTTGGTAGCGATTAATTTTCCCTAAAATTTCCTATGTGCCCGTTTTGATAGGATTGGGACGGTTATTGACGCTCATGCTTTCCGCGCAATATTTTGGGAGGGGGTATGTTGCTTTGGGTTCTCCCAATATTTTTGGGGACTTAAAGGCGTTTCAAGGATTAAAGTGCGTTAATTTCCAATAATGATAGTCTTTTTTAAAGTTGTGATTTTAAAATTTGGTTTGAGTTGTCCTAAGCAAAGATTATCCCGGACTCTCGACCATTATTTTGATCTCTTTTCTTTTGTTGGCAACGAGGGGTGACAAAATTCTAGATGTAAACAATTTGATCTTTGTCCTTACTTTGTCATTGTTGTCGTTGGTTCTTCAAGTATGTTCTTAGTGAAAGTGGGGTTTCTCAGGTTGTGGATGTGCTATGCCTTTTCACACAATGATCCATTCAATGAGTGACACAAACTAAGACCAGAGAGGGCCATGGTGTCGCCCGAGTGCTACCCCTTTGTGACCCTTTTGTTATATGGCATGCTGGATTGATGATGGTGGATGGCCATGTATGTACACATACAAGGACAAACAAGTGTACACCATCTAATTTTCTTGCATTCACTTTCATCAATTCCCCATTATATTTATCAAATTTCATAGCAAAGATTCTTCTGACAAATAATAGCAAATAAGTACCAATAGAGCACCGAGCATGTGTATAGTCATTTTTTGATACAATATTTAACAAATTAGCCATCTAGTAATGCAAGATTCTCTCCTGAATCGCGTCGTTAACATACTGAAAGGACATCTTGCCCCTAAGGAGGATTTTAGTGTTAATGACATTATGTTTAGAAAATTAAGTACGTTTTGAGTGCTTACACATGACACACATTATTTGAAATGAAACATAAAGTTCTTTGGTGCCCCTATAAGCAAAAAACGATAAAAGAAGACGACACATCAGTTAAAACCAACAAAGGGTCAATCTGCTGACGCCCACTAAGCCGACATAACAATGAAAATCGTCATCAATCCAACAGGTTCTCCTCGCCACCAGAAAGCAGGGGATGCGACCTACCAGATGATAGCCTTGGAGGCAGGAGCTTGGACCTTGTCTCGCGGTTGAGCGCCCCACACCACGACACACACATGGGGTAGACAATGCCTTACTCGGTGTCATGCTGGTGAGGTGCTGCCGATGGCAAGCTAGTTATCTTTCAGGATGTTGGACGACAGCACATGCCTGTATGCTAGTTAGTTTTCACATCAGTTTAAATGCATGAATTTTGATGTGCTAGACTATTCATCAATTTTTCAAGTTAGGTTGCGCAATCTATACTAGTAGTGTCTGAACTAAAGCAAGTAAAGGAAAAAAATACCAACTTGACAAAGAACGTGAACGTGAGCAATGACAACCGGAGAGGGCGAGGGGAGGGGATTCAAGAACAACCCACTTCGACACCTCATGCACTCTACATTCATACTAGTAAAAGCTAATCTAGAAAATTGTATTCTACTTATATTATCTCTCTAAGATATTTGTTAGACTTGTGTAATCGTAGCCCTTTATTAGTAAATCTGTAGGTACAAACACATATACAATGCATTCCATATGTGGATGTGATCGTGCCATCATTTTAACTTGTTTAGATTTAATTGAATTTAGTTCAGCAAAATATTCCAAACAAAAGTTTGAGAGAGAAATACCAATTCCGTGCAAAAACATGGATATTTGGCTTCTACAGTAGTAAGCTATCATATTTTATATTACTAACACTATACGTGTTTACAAAACGGTGGATACAATAAAATCAATAGTCATGGTTTTATCGCAAATATTGTATTAAAAATTAGTTAAGACCTAGTTACAATGAGTTGTGCAAAGGTAAAAAAGCTTAGTATAAATATGTGGCAATCATTTAACCAGATTCATCATGGGACCAACAATTTAGAAAACAATGATAAATTATCCAACATGTTGCGTGAATTTCATGATCAAATTTGTAACAACAATCTGCATGTGGCAGTTGATGGCAATCACGATGAACTAGAGGGATTCAAACAAGTAAGACATTTGATTAGTAGAATCTCTGACATATTTAGGTCATGTTGTATACTCATTTATTCCAAGTCTCTAATATATGTGGGTTATAGGCGATGCAATTTTCGCTACATATCTAAAACAAAATCTCCAATATATGTGGGTTACATGAGATGCAATTTTTGCTACATGTCTAAAACAAAATGATACACCTCGTTATTATGTTAAATTTAAGGTTATAACCAAAAAAGTGGATGTCACTATAAAATGTGTATGTATAAATATATAAATACACAACGTGAAACACGTTGTACATCATCTATATTTATTGTAGTTTAGCTTCGTCAAGCTTGTTAAATTCATTCATACCATGGATAATCTTCTAGACACCTTCAGATGGGTAACCTTCCTTCTTTAGCTACCCAATATTCATCAAGTTTAGTCGCCAATGCATTGATGTATTTCCTTCACTTGTTGCTAATGCTGTTGGTTTTCAC